CTCACACTTTAACTGCTTCTATTCTTGAACACTTGATGATTATCTAATCAAAATAAAAGCGCAGCACTGAGTCTAGGAGAACTCACCGGTATCACACACACTCCGGACGCGTCGCGTTCAACTTGAGCAGCGGTCTAAAACAGTTTATTTAATCACCAAACGGACACAAGTTTACTTCAAGAATGAACAATTTGGCATGGATGAGTTTGAAGTTTGGTGTTTAAAAAACGGAGCAAACGGAAAGAGAAAGCGCGACCTATATTATAGCTCTATAAATGAAGCACACAGACTTTATTAGAGCCACAGAAAGACAAACGTTTTGCTGAAAATGCACAATACACAATTCATTATGTACATTAACAACGATTCGGGACCAATATAATGTAATTTAAAGGAAAACTATGTGAATGGCCCGGCAGGATTTTCTGTTGGCTGCATTTAAATCCGCGTCTGAAGTGTCCCGCTCTGTTCAGCGTGCAGTATCACGTGTCTAAACAAATAGCATATGCTGTCAGTGATTTCAACCACTAGAGGCCGCTCTCGCACTGTGTAATGATAGCAGACCCTTCTCAGTTGCTCCAGCAATGGACACAACCTGGAAAACTATCGGCATGGATTTTTGTCGATAACCGATAGTTCCAGCAATCAATTATCGGTGCCGATTAATCGGCAAAACCGATACATCGGTCGACCTCTAGTAATAATATTACAGATATTCAATATATTGCCCAGCCCTACCAGGCATACAAACACTTAAAAATACACATTTAGACAGACAGAAAGACTCTGTCTAAATAAAATATATACGGTGCACTTACCCCTCCTCCTGCCTCCCAGCCTTTAGGGTGACCATACAGATGCACAGTGGATACTGTTGAAACTGATACCTGAGAGAGTCCAGGGGAGGAGGCGTGACCCGGCGGTGTGGCTGCTAGGTTAGGGTGTCCCTTGTTAATTTCATGTGCTGTATATGGGGGGCCAGGGGGTCTCTGTACCTGAGAAAACAAAGGGAAAACTGTGTCAACACTGAAGAGTCGTACAAAACAATAATTACTGTTTTTAAAGTCAACATGAAATGACATTAACAATTCCCCTTATTTTTGTATAACGCAAAATGTTGAATAATGTTTTATTTGGTAACAACATCAAAAAAAGGGGGGGGGGGGCATTGGAAGTGACTGAACCGTAAATACCAGAAGGGACCAAAAAGTTAGTTTAGAGGATTAGCTCTCCTACATTGGAGGAGGATTTGTGACCATGAAGTGGAGTATGAAGGTCAAAATTCACCCTCAAGAAGGTCAATCTCCCAATGAGTTTTTTTTTTTTTTTTCAAAATCGATCTTTATTTGCTATTGTTGTAACTTTTTGTACATTAAAGTGTACCACAATTCACTAAATTTTATTTTAAGGGAAGCTACACCACTGTCCAAGTTTGGGGTCGGTAAGATTTTTTTGTTGTTGTTTTTGAAAGTCTCTTATGCCCACCAAGGCTGCATTTATTTGATCACAAATACAGTAAAAACAATAATGTTGAAATATTAATATAATTTAAAATAACTGTTATAAAAATATAATAAATATAATCTAATATAATCTAATATAAAAAAAACAAACAAAAAAAATCTCAAACTTTTGAACAGTAGTGTATATTACCTGCAAAAGTAACCTAATACATAGCTATTTGGCTATTGGTTAACATTACTTTACCCCACCCACAGCCTTGATGTCATAAAATGAATAAGGATGTCATCAGACAGCTTTACCTCATTTCAGATTATATTACATTTTGATGAAAGACAAAAACTGATGAATCATGCTCAGTAATACCAGAAACATGCATTAAAAGGGTCCTATTATGCTTTTTCACTTTTTCAACATTAGTTAGTCAGTAATGTTGCTGTTTGAGCATAAAAAAGATCTGCAAAGTTACAAAGCTCAAAGTCCACTTCAAAAGGAGATATTTTATTTAACATAAATCACTTTTCAAAAAAACTACAACGAACTTGGATAGTTTGGACTATAACGCATAATTTCCGGGATTATGTGATTTTTGTGATATCACAAATATCCAGGAATGGGACGAGACCTGGTTGAGCTGCACTAGAGAAGGCAACGAGTGTTATCACTATGTCGGAGACACGCTAGCTTTCCCAAGGTAGACTAACCTAGAGTGGTTACAAACATCTGGGTTTAAATCGCACTCAAATTGATTTGATTTTGACGCAATATTTACACTGAAGCTCGCAGGCGGCTATGGTATGGGGCATGACATTTCCCGACCAGGCGCCGAGTGCTGCCAATCACAACACACACTGACCCAGCTAACCAATCACAGCACATTTCGTATTTCAGAAGGCGGGCTTTCATTTGATACAGGAACTATTCGAGCTGTTCATGCCAGACTGGGGAGAGATAAGTGAAAAATAATGTACTTTTCGAATAAACCTAGTATGTATAAGAGCCTGTTCTAGTACACCCTCAAAACAAAATCAAGACTTTGTAAAAGAGCATAATAGGACCCCTTTAAGGAAGCAAATCCTTTTAAATGCATTGAATTTAACGCCATCGTTTGAGGCAGCTTTCCTCATGGTCAAATTAACTGTTAACAAAGCCGAAATAGTGTTAAACAATAGAAATTAGGCTTTATCCTGTGTACTCTAAACTACATCTTGTAGACCGGTTCTTTATATTACAACAAACATTCTCTGCTTACATGTAGATAGCAATCAGCCACCGCATTAAAACTCTCCTGTGAATACTCGTTACAGCAACAGCCGTTATGGTCCGTTATCGTTGCTTATACAGGCATATGAGAGAGTGCAGTGTCATTGTCAGTTCTCCCTGGATTTTCAAAGTTGCTGCTGTAATTATAAATGGCAAATGCAGGCCAGAAACTGACAATGAGATTAACTTGGTGGTTGCACAGCGAGAGAATGCAGCCCAAGCTATTCCATAACTCATTAAAGAAAACAAGAAACCTGCAGTCCTGTTGTCTTCCTCGCAGATCAAAGGCTTCAAACAGAGAGCAGCCTGTTTTTACCTACTGTGAGGGCTAAAGAATGGTCATCTGCAAGCCAGACGTGTTCATCTGGAAGCTTACAGTAAAACAAACATCTTCGCCTCGGTTATACAGCATACGTATTCAATGACAATCAGTCAGTCTGATCTAAACACCTGAAATTGGCTTCCTGACTGGCATGACTGGCTTCCTGGTTTTCCCAGGCAACATCAGCTGGTGGAGAATGACCCACTTATTTGCTGAGATTACGCAGTTTACCCAGCAGCCTTGGCTTTTCCAGGGTGGGGTGCTTCTGTGCTAAGAAGGGGTGGGTGAGGTCACACAAGCAGCCCTATGGCTCCCAGACCTGGGGGCTTTCTGACCAACAAAGGAAGCAGAAACAGGAGAAAGACCAGCTCAGCAGAAAAAAAGCACCCCACCCTTCCACTTCCCTCACTACAGTACTGTTCAAACATCATCAGTCCTGCTCGCTCAGCCTCATGTCAGTCCAGCCCGCTGTCAGAAATCAATTTTCTTATTAACGGGTAATATTTGCCTTCTGGGCAGAGGCGGACAGTAACTAAGTACATTTACTTTAGTATTGTACTTAAGTACACTTTTTGAGTATCTGTACTTTACTTGAGTATTAGTTTTTCTGGGAACTTATGACTTTAACTTCACTACATTTGAAAGACAAATATTGTACTTTTCACTCCACTACATTTCTATCAAGGTCCTCAAAGTAGAAAGTCGTTACTCTGTAGCAGCTTTGAAAGTCAGTGGGTGATTTGTTTCTTCTCTAAAACGTGACTTTCTTTTTTTTCAGACAGTTTATCAGTAATCACTCTTGTAGGGTTACATGAAGTGATTTCCCAGCATTTTTTGAACACTGACCAGTTGCAAATGTGATATTTATTTACAACAATTTAATAATAAGAAGTTAATATTGTGGTATATATTAGACACAATATTGTCTGATTTTGCTAAATTGTGTACGTGAAAATATTACCTATAAAGCCACAGAAGAACTGTTGTGCGTCTCCTAATAAAACACAATAGGTGTTGGACTTGAAGCAGCACTGCACAGACTGTTCTGTGTGTGACATCAAAGTACAGCGAGAGTGATTAGACAGCATTTTTTTTATTTTTTATGTTAAATAAGTCTTGCTGTTAAAGCAGTGTTGCTGTTGTAAAGTTGTACAGCTACAGTTGTGTTGCTGGGTTTTAAAGCAGGTTTGATTTTTTTTCTTCCTTATCACTCTGTATTTACAGGATTTCACTGTCCACTCTGTTTCAAATGTGGATGAATGGTTACACATAGATGTGTGCACACACTGTCAGAGCTGTGTGAGATCACTACCATCCTGTTTTTGTGGGGGTGGGTAGGGGTGTTCATTTTTTCCCCCATAGGTTTTTAACATTCTAAAAGCTCTTTATTCCAAAGATACTACAAGCTAATCAGTGTATTCAGTAGGTGTAATGTATTCTAAGTTGCTTCAGAAGTATTGCAAGTATTACGTACAACAATAAAAAACATTGACATAAAAAAGGAAATTTACTTTTGGCACTTAAGTACTTTTAAATGCAAGTACTTCTGTACTTTTACTTAAGTAAAAATCTGTCTTTACAACTTTTACTTGTAATGGAGTAATATTTGACCAGCAGTATCTGTACTTTCACTCAAGTAATGGAGTTGAGTACTTTGTCCGCCTCTGTTTCTGGGGCAAATTTCTAACAATATAAAACACTTCGCAATCCCTCCATTTGTGTAAAATATTTGTAAATATTAAATATTCAAATATTATAGATTGGCCTAGAACAGAATATTAAGAAAAAAATATTAAATGTTACATAACTAAGGAAAATTTCAGAAAACTGCAATTTGGCCAATTTTTGTAACCACACTGTATCCATGCCTGACTTTTTGGGGATGTTTCTTACAATAAACCTGGAAGATTTATTGACAATAAAATGTGAAGATTTATATTTAAATTTAACTTTCATTTTTTAGCATCTGAAGCACTGGACATCTAAAATATATAAAGTACTTTGTTATATATAATAAAACAATATACTTTTTATTGTTAGTATTCTAAAAACTGTGTAAAAAATGTTTTTTTTTTTAAATTATGACTAATGTCATGCTTTTTCCCCACTTCCAGTGGCAGAATATACACTACCATTCAAATGTCTGGGGCCAGTACATTTTTTCTAAAGAAAAAATTAATCCTGCTCTCCTGAATCATTACTTAGCTACAGCGGTAAACAGCTTCCACCCATACACATGGTGGTCCTCATGTTGATGACTCAAATGCACTGCGGTTAGGAGTCAAATAATTCAATGTTATAAGACATCTGCAGGGACAGAGGAGTGGTCTGATCCCAAGTTAGAGTCAAAGCAATCATACAATGTACGAGAACTGCTTTATTTCAATATAACATGCTTTAAATAACCTGTTATATTCTTTAAAGGGGTCATGACATGAGAAACCAAATTTCCCTTGATCTTTTGACACAGAAGAGGTCTTTGTATGCTTAATACATCCCGCAAGTTTCATAACTTAAAATCTCCTCATCGCCAATAAAAAAAGCATTTCAATCATGACAACTCTCTGAACATTTTAGCATGGTGATGGATATGACAATGTTAATGCATTATATTAGCCATAATAATGGCTTGCTATGCATGCTGCTGCTAATATTATTTCTAAACTTGCATCTGAATTTGCAATGCATGCTATAAAATTTGCTAACATTGCAATCTGAATAACTATGCATACTGCTGCACAAAAGTACTTAGAATTGCTACTGCCCATTTATTAAATAACCAAACAACCAAATAATGCCTATTTCGCTTTGAAGAGTTCTATAAACCCTGTTGAACTGAATAGCAAAGTAGCAAAATGCCTATTTCACCTAAAAAGTTCACTACCATCCAAGCGTTATCTTATCACAGAAATTTCATGCAACTAAATGTACTTTATGCTGCCGCTGATA